CGTCCGAGCCCAAGGGGCACCACCGGCGCTGCGAGCCGCTGCCGCCTCCGCCTGGACGCGACGGGGGTGGGCGGCTTCAGCCGTCGCGGTGCAGCAGGCCGTAGCCAGCACGGCCCTGGGCACGCCACACGCAAGCCAGTGGCAGGGCCCGGAACTGGACCGTGTGCTCGACCTCGCCGAAGTGGCGGGGCCGAGCCGGTTGCCATTGCGCTAGTTGGCCGTAGCGGGGTAGCCTACTGTAGTTTCGGCGGACAGGTAGACGGACCCTCGGGAGCCGTGCAGGCGTAAAAGTCCGGGAAAAAAACTTTGCTGTGCAGCACCAACACCTTTCCGCGTAGCACCGTGCTCTCCTGCAGGTGTTCCCTGGCATCCATGACCTGCAGTTCTCGTAGCTACTGCTGTTGTACCGCACGTCTCCCGCGTGCACCACTGCCTTCGATTGCTCCCGCCGGCACTCACCGCCGTGTCTGTTGCCGCACATGCACAACATTGTGTGCCGCTTCGCCCAGCTGCTCCATGTTGTTCCCGGATATCCCGGCGACGCCGACCCTCTGCCTCAATCCGCAGCCGCGCGTGCGAAGTTGTGTTTGCACCATGGTGGCTTTGGGCTTTGCAGCTCAGCACGCGCCTGCGGCATACTTCGCATCCTGGCCTGACCCGCTTGGGGCACCCCGAGTCCGTGAGCCGGACCCCTGTCGCATCATCGCTTGCTCTCTTGATGACGCTGCATCTGCTCCCTCACCCCTACTCTGTTTGAGTTTCTTCGCCGGTGCTGTCGTGCACGCAGCAGTGAAGGCGCGGAAGAGCTTCTAGCGCGTCAGCGAGTGCAGTTGAGTATGTGGCTGGCGCTGTGTGAACAGCAGCATTCAAGCCGGAGAAGCATCCGCTTTGGCCACGCGCCGAGGCAAAGCTCCAATGTCTCCCCTTTCGCCGCGTCATATGCCTGCGGATAAGGAGCCGCGGCCCTGCGGCAGGAGCTGGTGCAGCAGTTCCGTCTCGGTCCTCATTTGTTGTGGTGCGGAGCCGCCTTGCCTTCGAAAAAAAAGAGAAAAGGACGCCGGCGGTCGGCGGTAGGTTTGGTGCCGAAGCCGACACCGGGCTGCCGCTGTCCCCATTCAACTGAGGTCCTTTGCGACTTTTGCTTGGATTTAGCGCTGGTCGGGCTCCTGGCTGTCGCTTCCCTGCGCCTCGCTCCAGTCTCGTTCCTTGAGGTTCTGGCCGACTCCCGAGCCACATTTCGCAGAGTTGCACGCCGGCACCAGCGCCAGTACCGTGGCACCGCTCTTCGCCTCGCCCGCAGGGCAGGAGCGCACCTACCCCGAGCTACTGCGCTCGCAGAGGTGCCGGCGTGTTATCCTTGCACTTGAGGTTGGAGGCCGCTGGAGTCTGCTCGCTCGTTGCGGGGCCCGTGCCGTACTTCGCCCGTTGCGGCCTGCAACCATACCTGCCTTCACCTCTCCATGGTCTTCCTCGCTCGCTTGTTCGGCCGCCAAAGCCTGCCGTTCCCTCGCCGGCACCACCCATGTTGACGGCGACCAGCCCCTGCTCAGCGAGGGTCTTTCGTTGACTCGCTTCGTTGTGACATGCTAAAGCGGTTTTAGCTTGTGTGTCCTTGACTTTAGATTGGTTTGCCTGGCTTATGTTGGTTCAAGCGCACGCCGAGATGTGCCTATACTGTTGGATGAGCTGATTAGCACAACAACTGCCCAGATAACAAAAAGAAGATACGGATGGAGTTGCGTGCCGCGCTCGCTGCCGCGTCCATACTGGTCACCGTGTCTCAGTCGGCACAGAAATGGGTCTGACGGCATCGGACGTTTCCGACGATTGACCCCTGCCACGACAATTTGCATGCGGTTGCTTATCATCTTCTTAGTTGGTTGCTAGGTGCAGTGCACTTTCTCATTGTCGGGTGCTGGTTCGGATTGCGATGCCCGGCAAGATCGGGTCAGTGGAAGGCAGACTGCTTGTCGAAGCACCTTGGCGAATTGGACTTGAAGCACGCAGTACACTAGATCGCGCGTCAGGCTTGATGAGTATCCGACCGATGAGTTGGCAGTGCTGCAAGCCCGGATGGCCCCGTGGCTTTGCTGGTCATGCAATGTTGACTGCCTTTTGAACGCCCGAGAAACACCAGGATCGGTGGGCCGAAATCGGACGAACATGCGATACAGTCTTTCCACGAGTGATCGTGGAATTTTGGAAATAAAAAAATTTCAAGAGGATAAGGGTTGCAAACAGCACGGAAAAGTAGTTTAAACAACCGCAGCAGAGCAGAAACGCTGAGTTGTGTTTTCAAGATGTGCTAAAACAAATTTGTACCGCAGAGCACATCATCGCACAACAGCGCAGCGCAGCAAGTGAAACGTGACTAGCAATGTCGCACCCAAAACTATGCGTTCATGATAGGGCGCGTGCGTTTCCTGTGTCATTGGCAGCATCGTGGCCGAGTGGTTGCAACCTTAGCCCTGCATTCCGTCTCCTGGGCTGAGGAACATCAGCAGCTGTGGCGACGTCGAATCCCACGGTGGAGACGTCGATTCCGATATGGCAAATACAGCGGCAGATATCGCTACCACAAGCCAACGACACCAATGAGCACAACCACGGGGTCCCCATCCACGATTATGTCCACGACATCAACAAGCACCACAATAATTCCGGCTGCTCGGCTTCTGATTCGCCTTCAGTCTTGAGGTGGCTCCGGCCTTGTTGAATGCACGCGGATTACTGATTGGGTTTTCCATTCAGACGCGATTTGAGTGATTGTCGGCATGCTTCCTTGGTGCTACAGATGGACAAGTGTGCTTGACTAGATGGGGGATGTGAGGGACTCACAAGGCAACGCAAAGTTCACGTAGCGATGCAGTAGTTGGGTGTTGCCTGCCGGACGCAAGCTCGCCTCCTGTGGCCGTTGCAGGTGCCAGCGCAATGGATTTCAGCCCCTCCGGGCATGCCTTGCAATTCAGCATGCTCTGCCCTCAATAGCGAAGGCAACATATTTCAGTGTGGCAAAGAAGAGATGGCAGCTATCAACTCTTCCACGACAATAATGACTTTGCTCTCCGACCTCAACCTTACGGTGCCATGCTCGCCGATGCAGCCCAGAAATGACGGCGGGAGTCCTTTTACCACGGGGAGCGGAGGCTGCTACTATTGGAATTCGGCCCAACCAGCAGGAAATGTGGACTGCGACTCCGTCTTAAATCCAGGCCGAATCCCGTTGTGCTACTGCGTTCCTGCCTATCGGCGGCACATGGACTCGTAGACTGCTCTCGGTTACATGTCTGTTCCCCTAAGCGCATATGGTTTCTGTCTAAGGGTCCACCAGCTGCTTGGTTGCAGTCCGAAAGTGTTCCAGCAGAGCAGAGACAGCAGAGAGCGGGGTGAGGGTTGTGGTGGCACTGCGTGTGCACCGCACTGCCAGGCACCAATTCCTGCTGCTTGGCTGCCAGTAGGGTGAATTCTGAAAGGAAGGAGCTTTGAAGCACACAAACCAAGCGATTCGGCTTCTGACCTGAAGATTGTAGAGTAGGCGAAAGCACTCGTAAGTCTCGGTGCTTTGGACATCCAAGCTGCGTAACGGATGCAAGTCTCCGTGCTTTCGATGTCCAAGCTGTTTCACCGACAGATGGGGGTTCCAGTCAGTATTGCGTGCTGAGGTTGCCTTTCCGAAGATTTACGTTTTGAGTTTCGCGGGTTTCTCGATAATGAGGGACATCTCCTTGTATCGTGCAACATCTCGGTTTGCAACCGGCATCTACTTCCATGGTGAGGGACTGCGTAGAGTCCGGTTTAGGTGCAAGCAAGGAAGGGCTCAGGTGTGTAGCAGTGCGACAAGTTCTGCAAGTTGTTTCATTTCCGGGCATGCGCCTAAGCTCATGTTTCGACCCGGGCTGTCAGATTTGAGGGCTCAGGGTTGGCGGTTCGGGACTCACTATCAAGTCCCTGGCAGTGTTTGTTGCAGCCTAGGAGCTTTAGTAGTTTCGTAATGGTTGCCGTCGTCGTGTCCGCAACAGTAAGCATTAGAGGAGTGAGTAGCGCTCCCAGCGCATTTTTTCTTTTTTGCCCCATGTTCCTTCACTCGGGTTTGCAAATCCTGATTGGTTGTCAATGCACCCGGCAAGACAACCCCGGACCAGAGTTCCAAGCGCGAGCATCTTTTCTTTTGCTGAGGATCCGAATGGACCTTGGCTCTCGGGCGCTTCATCACAACCCTGCAGCCATACTTGTCAGAAAGAGGGCTTCAGGGCTTCGCGAATTGTGGCAAGGAAGAGATGGCAGCAATTAACTCCTCAGCAGCGCTCTTCACGTTAACCTCCCATCTCAACCTGACATGCGATCCACCGACTGGCACTCCCTACCGAGATGGTGGAGGGAGTCCGTTCACCACAACCAGTGGAAGTTGCTATTACTGGGACCCGAGCAAGCCTGCGGACGAGGTGAATTGCGATACCGTTTTGAATTCAGGTCGACAGCCCCTGTGCTACTGCGTCCCTGATGCTTGGTTGCAGATAACCCGCTAGTGGATCAGACGAAACTGTGTGGACCAGTTCATTCCCACATACTGTTGCTGTCTCAGGGTCCGCCAGCTGCTTGGTGGCAGAAGATGGCTGACTTATGCTTGTTCGTGCTGGGTATAAGTGGGCATGCCGCACCGCCTGGTGTATGCGTCGTGTGGATGTTGGTGTTGTTTGTCGTGTTTGCGTCCTCGCGACCAGGCACCTATTCCTGCTGCTCGCTTGCATCGATGGTTTGGGTAATCAAGCTGCTTGAACTGTGAGTGTGCGGTAGAGAAGATGAGCTGCAGATGAAATTCAGGCGTCAAGCACAAAAGACTCACTGCTCTTGCTGGTGACTCCTCTGTTTCATGCTTCGATCCAAGACATGAGAGTCAGATCGAAAATCACATCTCGCACTAAGGGGCCACCTGAAAACTGGATTTCGGCCGCTGCAAACCAACCTTGCGATACCGCTTGCTCGAATGCGGGCTTTGATGAATGCGGCCAGGAGGAGATGGCTGCGATCAATTCCACCGCGACACTGAACACGTTGCTCTCCCTTCTCAACCTTACGTGCACACCACCAGCGACTGGCAGCCCTTTCAGGAATGGGGGAGGCAGTCCCTTCACTACGGCGAGTGGAAGTTGCTACTACTGGGACCCCTCAGAACCAGCGTCCAGCGTCAGCTGCTCCACCGTGGACTTCACAGCACGACAGCCCCTGTGCTACTGCAAATCTTCGACCTGATGCTGGCCTGCAAAGCCAGGAGCAGAGTTTTGCAACAGCAGGCAAAGACCTGAGCAAAGGCACACAAGGAATGCCAACAAGATTGTAAGATGTTGGACTCTTAGGGGTGCTTCTGAGTTCGTATGAGCGTCGGGGTCTTGATCAACCGTCTATCAGAACCAAGACTCGTCAAGCTACGCGACGCATTCCTCAGGAAAGGCGGACCCTATCTCAGAATGATGTAGATGCCTCTTCTCTTCTCGTGAAATGCCTGTGGTTGCCAAAGGGGCAGCCTTCGAAGTGTCAGCAGCGCTCCTGGTGCCAACATGTATGCCGAAATTATATTCCAGCGAATCGTCAGTTGTCCAACAAGTATATATCGTAGTTCATTTTTGCTACCCTCGCCTGGACACCGCCATCTTATGCTCTTGTCCTGCACTCTGCAACTACGCAGCCTCTGCCGGTGCCTCTGTCTTGTCTTGCTTTCGACTTGTGCCCTCCGAGGTGTGGGCACTCTCGCGCAGCGAAGCCACATGCGGCTGCCTCGGCTCGAGCACCAAAAGAGCAGAGTCCACAGATCGTAGAGATGGAAGCAGAGAATCTTGAAGACGAGTTGCCGTACAGCCAGCGGGAGTCGTGGAAGGTGTGGCCTGCAGTAGCGGCTCGTGCGTTGTTCTTGTCGTGTTGGTCCGCGGTCTTCCAGACATGGGCTCTGAAAAGCCTTGTCTCTGCATGTTTCTGCAGGTACGGTCCTTTCAAGTCAGCTCGAATCGTGAGTTTCTGCTGCTCAATGCAGGATATTTCTCCCATTCCGCAAAACGATGGTCCACATCCTCTTGCAGCTTCTTGGGCTTGCCATGCTGCAGTTCCACTTAGAAGTTTGCAGTTCGTGCTCAACACGAACAGCAAAGGTCATAAAGTATCCGTTGGGCTTCGAAGAGGCAGCATGACAGACTTAAGAGTTTGATTTGCCACACGCTGTGGTTCAGACTGTGGGAATTCCAACTATCGAGGTTCATAGCTATTTTCGGGCGATTCAGCAGCGCAATGAGACCAGCGAGAGGGCACTGCACTTGACTGCTGATGTTATCGAGCATAACTCAGCCAACTACACTGCTTGGTACTACCGGCGGCGGTGCCTCAAAGATTTGGGCATCGACCTCGAAGACGAGCGCGTGTTCACTGATAAGTGGGCTAGAGACTGTCCGAAGAACTACCAGGCCATGCATTGAGATGCGACTGAAGGAGAGTTATCTGGCACCGGACCGGCTCAGTTTTTGTCTGCAGGTGTGGTACCACAGGCGGTGGCTCGTGTCGGAGATGGCGGCGCGAGCGCGTTCCCAAACTCCAGGCCCAGAAGCCGAAGCGACCGTCCAGCAAATAGCCAAGACGGAGCTGGACTATCACTTGGCAGCTTTGGCTCGCAGAAGACGTAGCAATTGATTAAATTCAAAAGCCAGCACTCTTTCCAGTTACTTCTTCTTGACATGGTCTGTGTCAGGAGTGTATGCGGGTGAACAGCGACTACAAGAATTACAACGGCTGGTGCTGCCTTCAGTGCTCGGGGAATCTTTGAGAAGAGTGCTCGTGCTTTTGACGCTGGCACCAAGGTCGCACCGACAGTACATACTGCAGCAGTTCAACATGTGGCATCAAGAGCTTCCTTTCGTTGAGCTATTGTTGGAAGAAGACATCCGCAACAATTCCGCCTGGAACCACAGGCCGGCGGGCCATGGGAGGCCGAGGTCAGGCGGATGTTCCCAGCATTGAACGCAATGCCAGGTACACAGTGGTCCGAAATCAATCATGGCCTCTGACAGACAGCATTCGCGATCGTGAGCTGGCTTTTGCCATGCAAGCGATCCGCAAATGTGCAAGCAATGAGTGCGCTTGGAACTATTTGTCTGCTTTCCTGGGCGAAGGAGATGGGAAGGTCAGCCTGGCCTTGTCAGCCAAAGCCAAGCACAAGTCTGTCTTGAATCCCGGATGCAGGTTCCTTGGACTTCGGCACCGGCGCTTGAGATGCTGTGTCGCGAGGCAACATCACAGAAGCTCTCACAAAACCAACGCTGTCTTCACGTGCATTGTGGAGGTGATTCACGCCGCTGAGAATCAGGGCCCATCCTGCTGCTTTGCCATCCAAGCCCTCGCCAACATCCACGAGGAATCGGCAGTAATTCTGCACTTGCAGCTTCGATTGTCGTGTTTGCGAGGCAAGGGGCGAAGTCCAAGCAGCGCTTGACCAGTACGAGCGGCTGAAGGAACTGGATAGAATACGTGCGAAATACTGGTGTTGGCGCGCACTTGCCTTACTCGGCAAGCATGAACACCGGAACACCGTACTTTCGCCATGCAGCGTGGCCTCTCAATTCATGTATAGCTCAGGCCGATTATCTGAAGCAGAAGGTCAAAGGCATCAGCTGAGTAGTGCCAGAAAGCGTTCCGTTCACAGTAGGTACTTGTACAGCAGATGCCACGTCGAAAGAAATCTGCCAGTGCACTTTGATGCTGGGTTGGTTTGCACTTTGTTTTGGGAGCGAGAGATGTCCGAGGTGTTCAGCAGGGCTCAAGGAGTGACCGAGGCCTCCTCGCTGGAGGATCCTAGGTCCCCTTAAAATGCCTGGACAACGGAGCGGCATGGCGGGTGCATCGTCCCAGGCGGCTTCTGTGCCTTGGGCATCGCACGAAGCGTCTGGGTCTCTCAGTTCGCTGTTCAGCAGCCTTTGTCATCTCAGGTCGGAGGCTTGGCTTTGGGAGCATCTCGTGGCGCACATCCCACGATGCGATTGGATTCCTTCTTGAAATCCACCGACCCCGGATATCAGCATGCAGAGGCTTCTCAGATTCTTCTTGAGCGCAAGACATCTGCGGCCTTCTGCGCAGGCGCCCACGCAGGGAGATCGCTTCATCAGGAAGATGGCCAGAACCCAAGAGGACAAAGTCAGAAGAAGCCTTTGGCCCTCGTGGTAGTCCTTGGTGCCTGCGAGCAGAATTTCGCTGCTTGAACAAGGCCACATATGGGCAGATTCGCCCCTCCGTCAGCTTTGTGACCGAAGCCCGCGTTATCCGACCGGTCAAGGCTGGCGGCTAGTCGGGTAGATGTGCCTGCAGACCGAAAACTCGGAGAGCGGTTCATTGGTTTCAACCCTGGGTTGACAAGGAATGTGGCGCAATGGATATGTCCATTTTGCCGCATCCGCTCATGGACCCAAAGGGCGATCCTCGGGAAGGGACCTTTGAGATCCCTCCTCCACCTGAAGAAGTCGACGATTCCTTCATCAAGATGTGCTCCTCTTACTCATGCACGGTTTCCAGGCATTAGTGCACCTTCCGATCCTGCCTGCAGGTATCAGAACCACAGCCTCATGCTTCCATCCGAGCGGTACAAGGAGCATCTGAAGATGAAAGCTGGTGAACAGAAGTGGCGAGAGGAAAGGGACGCAGTTTTTCGATATCGTAAGCGCATGACGGTCCTGGAGCGGAAGCACCCAGAAGCAGATGTCTCAGTTTGATCGTAGAGCAGTGCGACTTGACACATGACTCAGCATCCCTTTTGCGACCAAGGGTATCCTGGGAATCGATGGACCCACGCATCCAGACACCTTGCTGTACAAAGATCGTTATCAGCATTTGGCTGCACAGGCCGGGCGTCGCTGAGAGTGAGATGCGTCTACAACTGCCACAGCTTCTCGGTACTGTGCAGGCAGAGCGCAAGGCAAACATTGCCGAGAATCGCTTTGCAAACTTACATGCGCAGAATTACTCAGACGACGCAGTGGCAATGCGAAGCTATGGCACTGATCCGGGCCTGGAGCGCTCTAAGGTCCAGTGCACTTGCTTGACATACATCACGCATATTTGTCTGTCGGGACCTCTATTTGAGGGGGCCATTGGCAGGACATTTGTATACAGCGAAAATGCGTCGATCCCGAGCAGCATCCATTTCGATTTCTTGATACGCACGCCCGCCTCTTCCCGAAGTATTCGCCGGTCAGAGCCTCGTGAAGCAGCCAACCCAAGCAACCTCCTGCTAATCACTTCGACTTCCTTCTGAGACCTGGGACCCGGAACGAGCAGCAGCGCTGCGCAGCGACGAGCTTAGTCACGTGCCCACTTCGTGCGATGCTCCGGAGGTTCTGCTTGCCTTGCAAGCATAGTCTTGCGTGTGCCTTGCGAGTCCGTTCCACAGTGCCGGTGCCGGCTGGTTTGACAACTTTTGAGGTCACGACGTGAGGGCCGCTCAGCTTGAACCCACGAGTGTTGCCGAAGCAGACAGTTTTGGAAATCCTCTGTCTGCCGCAACAGGACAGGCAGCACAACATCATCAATGGTGCGCGCAACGAATTGACGTACGAGGTTGCACTCCCATGGGAGGAGGCCGAGAACTCAATACATATCTAATTTTCTAATGCTCATATACAGTAGGAGAGCAAACACAAGACTGCTGACATTGCCAACATGGCCTCATGTCAGTGCATCAGGTTCAGCAGCAAGCAGTGCAGCGTCGGGTTGCTGAAGCTGCTAAGACTGCCACTAGAAGCATGAGCAGTCATGAGATTTGATCTCAGCGGTGCCACGTAGTGGCATCCCTGGGAAAACGAGATTTCAGAATGACATTGTACAGGCTTTGCGGGCGTTCAGCAAGCAGGTCAAGTCCAAAGCCCTACACAGCCCCAGTACCCGTTTCACACAGCTTGAGCATGCCTTTTTGCTGTTACCAGAAATTTTGGTGCAGCTATCCAGCTGACCTACATGGTTGCACGTGTCACCTCGCATTGAAAATTGAGTGTGGTCCAGCACCCATCCACAACACATGCAGGCATGTGTGGATCCTTGCTGGCCGATGTTACACGGGCATCCTTCCTGTTGGCTCAGGTTGGCTTCAGCCCAGAAGGCTAGGGAAAGTTGCCCATGCCGTGCCGATGAATCGGAGGGGCTGACTGCCATGAAGCAGAAAAAAGCTCAGACGCAGCATGGCCATGGACACAACAAGCCTGTTGTAAAGGCCCAGTATCGCACGAGAGTGACTTGCGGAAGAGTGTCTGGCAAGGTGGCCACGTGGCAAGGTGAGGAGGGATGGATCCGACCGGATGCGAAGATTAACCATGGCTTGAGCTCCAAGAACAGCGGCTTAGTACTGGTTAGGCGGAAGGATGTCTCTGCGGGTCAGGCCTTGAAGCCCGGTGAAGCTGTGGACTTTTTGGTCTACTCCGAAGTCGCTGAAGGCGGTCGGTTAGGTGCTGAGTTTTGTCGGGTTGTGCCCGGCAGGAGCCAGCCCAGCCCAGCCAGCCAAGGCGAGGTTGGCAAGCCGGAGGCATCGCCGGTGAAGCCAGCACAGAGACCACAGAAAGTTCTGCAGCTGCATGTCAAGAAGCCAGAAGTGCTGACGCTCAAGAAGCCAGAGCCACCGACACTCATGAAGCCGGTTCCGAAGAAGGGCGGGAAACCAAAAGGAGCGACTGTAGGCAAGAGCGGGAAGCCATCCATCCAGAACGTCATTACCGCCGGCAAAGATGGGAAGAAGTCTGGAGCAGCGACGACTCCTGGAAAGGGACCCCCAGCAAGCGTTGCCAAGGGATTCAATGCAAATTCCACGGCTGCACCCGGACCCCCATCTGCCGATGGTTTTAAAGCCAAGCACAAGCTGCCACGACAACAGATCGGCGACGCTGAGCAGAGTGGCCAGCTTCATGAATGGTGGGGAAAGTATGGCTGGATCATTCCGGACAAGCCTGTCAACCATCCTGGCGCCAGCAAGCGTCAGGGAAAAGTTTATGTTCATCTCTCCGACATGGAGGACGACAGTGTGACGGTAATTCCCGGTTGCCGCGTGTCCTTCCTGCTTTATGCCCGAGGCTAAGTCTCGTGAGAAAGACCATAATAGTCTGGATTTCGGGTGCTTCTCTTTCACACGCTTTCAGGTGGACAACAGCGGCCTAGGAGCGCAGAGCTGCAGGATTTTGGACAACCTGCCAGGAGGCTCTGGACTCTGTTCTCATGTGGTATCCTTGTAAGCCATACCAGTTTCCAAAAGATCCCAAGTAGTGATTTCGTTCTCAATTAGTACATTTTCTGTGTTCTTTTCATGGAACTTTGTAATCTGCTGTTTCACTTCCTGTACGCTTTATGCTTACACTTTGCTTTGATTTGCTTCACTCGTCTTTACAGTATTTTCTTTGTCTTTGTTCTGTTTATCTTTCATGTCTGTTTTCTGTCTTACTAAGTGCTCTTGCACTTCAGGCAAAGGCTTCCAAAATGCGCCCAAGGCTCGAATACTGGTCTGCCAGATGCCACTTGTAGCTGCTCTCTCCACGGATTTGTGCAGACCGGTTACAACAAGTGGCAGTCGACTGGTTACCAGCCTCCGGCCAAGTTTCTCAAGCTCACAAAAGGAAGACTTGATTTGTGGCCGCTACAGGCAAGCCAACAACTGGCAGTCCCAGTCCCAGGAAGCTCAGGAAGAGGAAGGCCTGCCTCCTGACTGGGAGGAGCAGTCTGGCAACCGTCTGCGGCCGTGGGCACGCTTAGAGAGCTCGTGTCTGATTTGTCTTTCTTCGGAGGAGCATTGGTCGGACGAGTATAATGTCCCGTATTTCTGGAACAAGCAGACCAAGGAATTCCGGAGCTGTAAGCCTTCTGCATGTGTATGTTGGCTTGGGGAGCTTGTGCCAGGAGTCCGTGTGGGTCAGACCTCAATGAGTTCAACAGTGCATCACGTGCTCTGTTCCATGCCCGTGCATGGGACCGGGTGCGGATTTTGATGTACACTTCGTCTTCACGTGCCTCGAGAGCCCCGCTGGACTCCAGTGCTGGCCTGTTAAGAGCCGCTAGCTCTGCTAGCTTGCCGTATGAGAAGTTGACCCACAAAATAGGTTGAAGCAGCGGCGAGACAAACAGATTCCGGTGCTGACAATGGTCATAATGAAATCAGGAAAAACTCACATTCCTACGCCTGTAAGTAGGTTAGCACATACCGAAAGCGAGAATCTAGTGTGCAAGCGG